GCCCGAGGTAGGCCTAGCGACAAATTGATTTGGAGAACTTAGAATGCTAAATGCCTCATTTTATTGATCAAAGTAGAAGAATCCCAAAACGACACCAAATAAAATGTCACTAGTGGCCATTGGCCTTATTACATTTCTTAAAGCAAAAGAACAAACTCCTATCCAGCAGGACCTTCCTCAGGTTGAATGCTCTCGTTAATCAAATCCTCCAGCTCGCGTAGGTCACCTGTAGAAATGCCTTTGCCATGTGTTCTCCTTTATTTCTTTCAGCGTTCTAGCAGTCGGTGACTCTCTTCCTCACTTTCCCTTCCAATTCCAGCAGACTGTACTCCAGATATTCCAACTTTTCGCTAGCTTTGGCGGCCTTCTCTTTCCACTCGTTGATTTGGTCATTTGATGGAAGACTCCTCCGCCAGTCCAGCAAGAGTGGGAGTGTGCTAATCATACCGAAACTGGGGACCTCGTGCCTCATATTTATGCAAGACAAAAGGGTTAGGCCCTTATCCCCACCATACTCGACTATTAAATACCAACAATTAGCATAAAGCATTTAGTTCTCCAAATAAATGCACAGAACGTGGTGATGTCCATTTGGGTTCAGGGAAACCCGGTGGACTTTGGACAAGGCTATCTTAAAGAGTCATTATGCGAACAACACAACTGACTCGGCTAGGTTTGACCATGATGCATGCACAGTTAAACAGGGTAAGGTTTCTATGGGGTTTTAGACTGGTACCCTTGAGCGGACAACTCAAGGGGGAAGGCACGGAACCGTCGACTACACCGTTGATCGATTGGTTTTACCGTAAATATGCCTTTTCTAAATTTAGGGGTGATAATATCGGAAGAGCGCAACCACTCATTATAAGTGTTGCTATGGCATTTTGTTTGGCACGAGTGGAATATGATGTTGAGCATGATTATACAATAACTAAAGTAGATTGTCACGTATTTGCACATTAGGAAAGCAGTAATACAATAGTTTTGCATAACTTAAAGCGGTAGTAAAGGAAAGCAGTAAAGGAAAGTAATAAAGGAAAGAAACAAAAAGACAAGTCAGTTTTGCAATCGAAAAGGAAATTGAATGCTTAAAATAAATAAACAAATAATTGCGCATAAAGAAGCATAAATTCACAATAATAGTCTGAAATGGTAAAAGCCTAAAAGTCCCGAGCAGAGTTACCACGCTGTCGTGCCCCCTTTTTCTCGAGAAATTGGGTTTATGACATTTGGGAGGACAACTCGTTCCCTTTTGGGAATTGGGTTTGCATAGAAGAGTTGTCACCTAATGATTAAAGTGCATTAAGACACTACAAGGGTTTGTTTTAAGTAACCAGAGATTGGGTAAGGGCTTGAAATTATCCTAAGGGGAAGGTATTAGGAACCCCTCAAGATCCAATAGTGTGGTTGTCGGCCAGATAATTATTGTGACTTTAAGCGCAAACAACACGTAGGCAAATAAGACTTCAAATAAGAGAGGATTTTGCACATGAGGGTTACAAGTAAGAAAACTAAAAGAGTTGATTTTGAAGAAACAGTTTAAAATGTTTAAAAGGAAGAAACAAAGGAAAAGGGGGAGGGGTCCTAGGTTTATTAATAATATGGATCACCCCACACAACATCCGGTAATCACTCCTCGGTGAGAGGCTACACGTGATGTTACCGCGTGGTCATCATATCCATATCTACCCTTCCTTCCTTGTTTAAGGTATTAAAGCGTGGAATGGTCTCGTGTACTTATTGCATGTTATTACCCGTCCCGTTCCTATCATTCCCAGAGGTATTTGGGACTACTAATCCTAAAAGGGGGATATATTGGGCTTATTTGTGTTTTCAAAAGGGTAAAATACTAAGGCGATATACAAAAACATGTATAGCAAATTGGGAAAAACATACAGCAAGTGGAAAGGCTCATATATACCTCCTTGAATAAAGAAGCACGTAATCAGCATGACTTACACGTACTATTTAGGGCCTGATTAAACTTAAAGGTTGAGGCAGACTGATTTATCACATAATTCAGATAAGAAACCCGAATCAGGCTGCCTGCTGGTTGTAGTTAATAACAACAGATTCAATTTATAAACTTTTACCCTATGGCTTGCCTAAGTGTTAGACGAAAAACCCTATAGGCGTGATATCTACAGACTTCATGAACAAGGATATGAGATGATTACATACTGATTTAAGAAAAGATGTCAGTTATTAAAGAAGGGCGAGTTTTAGCAAAAGATCATAAGTTCTGCAACTGGTAATGCATCATTATTGCCGATTTTAGACTTATAAGCGAGTGAAACAGTTCAGACTTGATTAATAGCTCCTATAAGCATGTTTTCTATGCGTTGTTAATTTTAAACACTTTCATAGACATAGCAAAATGCAGAAACCCTGTAAGCATGATATCTAGGTGCTGAATTTCATTTAAGACCTATGAACATGATATCTAATTGCGGTTGATTATTAAGACCTACAAACATGATTGCCTAATGAAGAATGGATGTGCAAGGTTCAAAAGACCTATAGGCATATTCTCTATGTGCATATGCAGAATTCAGATTTTTAGATAATTATAGACATGGTATCTATATGAGAGAATGCAGGATTCCTATAGACATGGTATCTATATATGAAGGAATGCAGGATTCGTATAGACATGGTATCTATATATGAGAGTGAAGAAATCCAGAAACTCCTATAGGCAGGATATCTACCCCTTTTGCATATATGGTTACCCCTCCCTTTTTCACTTGCCATCCCCGAGAGTTTACTACAAAGTTATTACAGCCCAGAAAAGTAAAGAAAAAAAATACATCGAAAATTAAAAAGTACCACCAATGAGAGCCTGATTCAGACTTCCTGTCTGAATTATGAAGTAAACCAACTCCAAAAGGTCATATTTTAAAGCTTTTCTCCCATTTGGGGTGTGTCAAAGTTCCCTAAGAGTCTCATATGAACTCTGGGCAGTGCTTACACCTAAATGTATTACCAGATTAAGACATGGTGCAGTGTGGAAGGGCCAGCTCTCAGGTGTCCAAGTTCAGAGGGAACTCAAGGTCCCAAGGCAAGGCTCACAAAAGAGGGGCAGAACTTAGGGACTAAGAGAAAGTGCGAGTGCAGGAATAGAATTCTGAGAGGGGAAAGGGAAAGGGAAAACAGCTTACATCAATACACATAGGGGTATAGGGAATGGGGAGGTGGTAAATAGGCAAAGACAGGCTGATGGGCATACCCAGTAATGGGAAGTGCTGGCACACCCATAAGCATGTTAGAACACACTGTTTGGAGGTTAGGAAACCCTAAGGGATCAAGTTCAATCCATGGATAACAACTTATATATTGCCATGTTTTAAACCATAACTCAAAACACATAAGGGGGTAGGGAGCAGGGGTTCATAGCAGAAACAGATAGAAAGAAATCAACATGCTAGTTTAAATATTGAACTCTACAGAAACAGCAAATAAATATGGAAAACACATTGTTGTGATGTTGAAGCTTAAATTAGGACATACCACTTTCAAAGAAACAAATAAAGGAAATGCAGTAGGTCTTGTAAGCAGGCCACAGTGCAGACAAGAAGAGAATATTATTGAGAGAGTATGAGTTCAGAAGGATTCTCATGTCCTCTTTGTGAAAAAGGGTCGTGCCATTTATAGTGTAAAAATCATGAAGAAGTAAGGTAAGAAAATAGTCAAGAAACTGATTGTCAATCAATTACACAAGATTTCCCTTAATTAAGGGATTCAGATTCAAACGGGTAAAAACAATTTAAGGAAAGAAAAATGAATAAGCACTTTGTGCACAACATGCAATTAAGGGTAAATACATAAAGGTTATTTAAGGACAGAATTTCTTAAATACGTGATTGCACAAACAAGGCAAGAAAATCAATTAACAACTAGTAAATCAAAGGTCAGGGATCTTGTATGATTGAACCGAGTTAAAAAGATGGGAAAGGTTTTTTAACTTAAGGGAAATCAGCAAACAATGGAAAGGGAATCAATTAGACCTATTTAGAAGGAATTTGAATCAATCACGAGTTGAAAGCCTTTTTAGAGGAAGATATCACATACAAAGAGCGCACAAACACGTTGAGTTGGAAGAAAATGTTGTGCCATTGCAAAAATTAATAGAAAAATCCAGTGAAGAAATAGTTTTAGAAGAGTTTAGCCAGAGGTCAGAATCATATGCAAACACGGATGTCCAAACTCGGTTCAGAGACTTGAAGATAGTCTGAAAGAGTTAGGGGTTTTGAAATGAAACCCGAGTTCAAGCAAATCACATAACCAAACTTGGAAGAACCCCCAAATTCTAGAGTTTCCACCAGAGAAGGCAAGTGATCGAAACAGGCTCAGAGGTCTCAGAGAAGAACTGAAACCTCTTGCATGTTTCTTTCAGCAGCAGAAACTCATGAAAAAATAATGATAGCAAGTAATACGCAGAACATAGTAGAAGAATTCAAAGAAAATAGAGTAGAAGAAGCTAATACGAAAAATAATGAAAAAAATGATAAGAACAGTAGAAAAAGCATACTATAGTAGTAATGAAAGTATGAGAAAGTAGGAGAAAAAACTGATAAGAACAGTAGTAATGAAAAAATACAGTAGGAGAAATACACCAGAACAAAGTAGAGAAGAAATACTGTAGAAAAAGTATACGAGAACACAGTATAGGAAAATACAGCAGAAGCAACATATAAGAACATGGTAGAAGAAAATGCAAGGACACAATAGAGGCAAATACACACAAAAAAGGAAGAAGGAAGTCAAAGAAATATTTAAATATTTTCCGAAAAACCCTAGATCGGAAAAGAAAGATTTTCAAAGTAGTTATTTTTTGAAATAAAAGTCAGGAAAATCGTTTAAGACCTTAAGGAAAGCATTGATCTGGAACAGATATAAGGAAATCGGAAAAACCTCGAAGGGTTAGGGTTTCAGAAGAACCCTAGAAATGAGAAAGGCTTTGAAGAGCCATTGATCTAAGTCGGAAAGGTCAAAATCAGGCTCGAACAACTATGGTGCGCCAGAATAAGGCTGGAGATGGCCATGGAACTTGAATCGAACGAAGCCTGGGCCAAACTTCGTCGTGGTCAAGCCTTGAACTTTCAAAAACTAGGCATACAGGAGCAAGATGAGGCGGGTATAGGGCTTCCAAAGCCTTGGAAGCCATGGATTCCAGTAGCTTTCAGGGCGGAAGCGGGTTTGAGAAGCTTCGAGAGAGTTTGAGAGAATGAGGGGTTTCGATCAACGGCCTGGGTTAAAAGAGGAATCGGCCGGGTCATTCAAATGGGCTATGGGTCGGGTAATTTTAGGAATTGGGTTGGGGTTCAATTGGGTTTAATTGGGGTAGAATTTAGGCTACAATCGAAATGAAATATGGCTAGATTTTAAACAGCCATTTTTCCCTTTTTATTTTTTATAAAAATAGTAAATTAAATCCTGGAAATAAATTCAATGTACTAAAATGATTTATAACATATAATTATTAATTTTAAAATACTGGACTTAATTTTATAAGTATAAATTCAATCAAATCATAAAAGAGGCTAATATTGCAATTATGCAATTTTATCCTTAAAATACCAAATAAATTTGTAAAAATGTGTAAATAAATTTCTTAGCTATATTTTGGTAAAAATATGAGAATCCAATAAATGAATCACCAAGATGATAATTTTGGGGATAATTATTAGTTTTTTCTTGATAAAATAGGGCAGTAAATTGATTTAAAAATCTTTAAAAAAATTAAGAAAAAATAATATAGCCTTAGGGTATACTTATATATGCATATACATGCTATTTGAAAGGCATTTTACATATAAAAATATACGGGAAAAAAGTTGGGTATCAACAGCCGCGAAGATGTATCAGGATTTGAGGCAGCACTATTGGTGGAGGCGGATGAAGTAAGATATAGTTGGATTCATAGCTCGGTGTCTCAACTGTCAGCAGGTGAAGTATGAGCACCAGAGACCGGGTGGGTTGCTTCAGCAGATAGAAATTTTGGAGTGGAAGTGGGAGCGGATCACAATGGACTTTGTAGTTGGGCTCCCATGGACTTTGAGGAAGTTTGATGTCATTTGGGTGATTGTGGATTGGCTGACCAAATCCACTCATTTTATTCATGTGTGTACTACTTATTCTTCGGAGCAGATTGCGAAGATTTATATCCGAGAGATTGTTCGTCTACATGGTATTCCAGTTTCTATTATTTCAGATAGAGGTACCCAGTTCACATCACGGTTCTGGAGAGTCGTTCAACATGAGTTAGGTACTCGGGTAGAGTTGAGTACATAATTTCACCCTTAGACAGACGGACAGTCCGAGCGCACTATTCAGATTCTTGAGGATATGCTTTGTGCGTGTGTGATTGAGTTTGGAGGGTCTTGGGATCAGTTCTTGCCATTGGCGGAGTTTGCTTACAACAACAGTTATCAGTCCAGCATTCAAATAGCGTCGTATGAGGCCTTATATGGTAGACGGTGTAGATCTCCAGTGGGTTGGTTTGAGCCGGGTGAGGCTAGATTATTGGGCACAGATTTGGTTCAAGATTCTTTGGAGAAGGTTAAGATGATTCAGGATAGACTCCGTACAGCCCAGTCCAGACAGAAGAGTTATGCGGACCGGAAGGTTCGTGATGTTTCCTATATGGTTGGAAAGTGGGTTCTGCTTCGGGTTTTGCCTATGAAAGGCGTCATAAGATTCGGGAAGAAAGGAAAGTTGAGTCCAAGATTTATTGGCCCTTTTGAGATATTGAGGCGTGTTAGGGAGGTTGCTTATGAGTTTTCCTTACCTCCCAGCTTGGCCGGAGTTCACCCGGTATTCCATGTTTCGATGCTCTGGAGGTATCACGGGGAACTGTCACACGTGTTGGATTTCAGTTCAGTCCAGTTGGACAAGTATCTATTTTATGTTGAGGAGCCAGTGGCAATATTGGACAGGCAGATTAGAAAGCTAAGGTCAAAGAACATTGCTTCGGTAAAGGTTCAGTGGCGAGGCCAACTGGTCGAGGAGGTGACCTAGGAGACCGAGCAGGATATGCGCAGTCGTTACCCTCATCTTTTCACTACTTCAGGTATGTCTCTATACTTGTTCGAGGATGAACGAATGTTAAAGTGTAGGAGGATGTGACGACCCGGCCGAACGTCTTAAGAATTAATGCCCCAATCCCCTATTAATTGCTTTTCCCAAGTTTAATTATGCTATTTTGATTTGCCGGGATGTTCGGTTTTGAGTTTCGGGAAGTTTTGGGACACTTAGTCCCTAAATGAGAGCTTAAGTGTTGGAAAGTTGTCCGTAGTTAGAACAGTGTGAAAACGGCCTCGGAATGGAAATCTGATGGTTCTGTTAGCTCCGTTGGGTGATTTTGGGGTTAGAAGCGTGTTCGGATTGTTTTTTGGAGGTCCGTAACTAATTTAAGCTTGAAATGCCGAAAGTTGAATTTTTGATGTTTTTAGTCCGATATAGAGATGTTGATCCGAGGGTCGGAATGGGATTCCTAGAGTTATAGTAGTTCTGTTGTGTCATTCAGGATGTGTGTGCGAAATTTCAGGTCATTCGGACGAGGTTTGATAGACCTTTTTATCGAAAGCGTATTTTGAGAAATTTGGAGTTCTTAGGTTTAAATCCATGGTTAATTCGAGGTTTCGATGTTGTTTTAGATGTTTTAAGGATTGGTACAAGTTTGAATAAGGTATTTGGTGATGTTGGTGCTTTTGGTTGAGGTCCCAAGGGCCTCGGGGTGATTTCAGATGGTTGACGTGAAATTTGAGAAATTGTTGCAGCTGTTGTATTTTTGCTGCTTCTGGTATTTTCACATCTGCGGTTTGGGGACTACAGATGCGGAGCCGCAAAAGTGGCTAAGGAGCCGCAGAAGCGAAAATTGACCATCTCTGCAGGAACTGCAGATGCGGTATATTTTCCGCAAAAGCGGTACCACACCTGCAGGTAAAGGGCCGCAGATGCGGAATCTGGCCTTAAGTGGGAAGTCGCAGATACGACATTTGTTCCGCAGATGCGGTCCCAAGACCGCAGATGCGGAAACTGCTGGGCATTATTTTATAAAGGGGTTCCGCGACTTGGGAGTTTATTTCCACCATTTTTAATCGTTTTTGAAGATTTTGAGAGTGATATTTGAGAAAAACAAAGGGGAATCACTTGCAAGTAACATATTTGACTTCATAACTCATTTTTATGTGATTAAAGACCTAATTAGTGGTGAGAAATTTGGGAAAAATAGTTAATTAGGGTTTGAGTTTAAGAGGCTTTTAAATGAGGATTTGAGGGGTCATTTGGACTCTGATTTTAGTGTTCTTGTTATGTATGGACTCGTGAGAGTATGAGGTTTTTGAAAATGTAAATTTTACCTGATTCCAAGACGTGAGCCGAGGGGCATTTTGGTCATTTTAAATAATTTCGCATATTAGCTTAGAATTTAATTGTAGAATCAGGTGCTTGAAGTGTTATTTACATTATGAAATTGAATTGAATAGATTTGGGCCATTTGGAGTCGAGTACTCGTGGCAAGAGCATGGTTTCAGGTTGATTTTGAGTCGGTTTGAGGTAAGTGGCTTGTCTAACCTTGTGTGGGGGACCTTCCCTTTAGGATATGATATATTTGGTAATTGAAATGTCTTGTACGTGAGGTGACGAGTGCGTACTTGAGCTAATTGTTGAAAATCTGGTTTTACTTTAAGTATTTCAATTGAGTTCTTTTTTCCTGCTTTATTCTACTTACGAATTTAGCCTGTTATAGTTTAGAAAAGCATGTCTAGTTGATTTAATTGTCTATCTGCTTAAACTGCCTTAATTGCATTACGTGAAGCATGTTAGGCTAGAATTAACTGTTACTTGGTATGAAATTTTGCATTTAATTGTGTATTATTGTGTTGCTTCTATGTGTTTTTAATTTGGGACTACGGGACGACATCCCGGGAGATCCCTTGTACGTATTTATGATCTGGACTGAGGTGTGGGATACCAAGAGATCCCTTGCACGTATATTGAGGATACCAAGAGATCTCTAACATTATTTGAGGATACCAATAGATCCTCGGGATACCAAGAGATCCCTAGCATTTATTGAGGATACCAACAGATCCTCGGGATACCAAGAAATCCCTAGCATTTATTGAGGATACCAAGAGATCCTTAGCATACATTGAGGACACCGAGAGATCCTCGGGATACCAAGAGATCCTTGGCATATATTGAGGGTACTAAGAGATCCTCGGGATACTGAGAGATCCCCGGTTATCATCCTTGTTATGAGTGGTACTTCCTGGTGTTTGTCATTATTTCTGTTTCCGTTATTGTACTCCTTATTATCCTGTGTAGATTCTTACTGTAGATTTTCAACTGTACTGCTTATCTATACTATCATGTCTCATATTCTCTATATTTATTTAATCTCAGTAGGGCCCTGACCTTCCTCGTCACTACCCAACCGAGGTTAGGCTTGGCACTTACTGAGTACCGTTGTGGTGTACTCATGCCTCTTCTGCGCATGTTTTTCATGTGCAGATCTAGGTACTTCTACTCAAGCCTACCATCCTTGAGATAGGCGACTACTTAGAGACTTCGAGGTACATCTGCCGCGTTCGCAGACCGAGGAGTCCCTTTCTATTCCTGTCATTTAATATTTAGCCCTTGTGTACTTTCTATTCTTATTAGACAAATTCCGAAGTTAGAGCTATGTAGTATTTCCTTTTCTTAGCTTGTGATTCATAGGTTTCCGGGTCTTGGATTTGGATATTGGTTTTGAGATTTATATATGGTGTATGCCGAGCGACACATTTAAACGTTGTTATTGCCTTATTTTTGTTTTTAAATTGTTTACTTCCACAAGTTTTGGTTATCTTCCACAATTTAGGCTTACCTAGTCGTAGAGACTAGGTGTCGTCACGATGGCTCACGTAGGGCGAACTGGGATCGTGACAGAAAAGATCCCCAAGTGATGTTATAGCAAAGCAAGAAAAGTCAAAAATGGTCATGCTAGGGTAGGCAAACAAGCCTATCATAATTGTAGAGGGTGCCCGTACGGATCCTGTCATTATCAAGCCTGTAACCTAGTTGTCGGTAATCAACACCAAGGCTATCCCATGAAACTATGAACAGGTGATAGTGACCTATAAGGGAAAGGAAGTGAAAGAAGAAGTCAATGAGGCCCAAGGATTAACTCGTTTGGGAAGATGCTTTGCCCCGGAAGAGTTAAGGAAAGCTAAAAC